ATGCTTAGGGAAAGGCAAGAGCTATAGTTAATCAGTCCTGAATTCTAGTCTGTCAGTGTTTTTCTTCAAACGTTATTTAAACTGGTGTTCCTTCTGCCTGCGTACAGGATTACATCTGTGGTGGCCACAGGGCAGACAAACAAGAATGCTGCCCTTAAACTTAGCTGTTTGGGAGCTGTTGTGCAAAAGTGGTCGGCTGAATTTCAGGACTGATGAAATGTTTACAGAAGGTTTTTGAAATTTTGAATGAAAAAGCTCCCTGGCAATTCAACTAGTCATGACCTCACTGCCAATACCTACCTATTGTCATATATCTGGAGTCTCTTTTCTATTATTTTAAGTAATATGTGAGGCAAGTGGGGAAAAAAATTAGGAAAAAATCTAAAAGATGTCTTTCAGTTATGTTGTCTCCACGAAACTCTTAAACACTGCACAGAACAGTGTTCAAAGGCAAAAGAAGCCCCCCAGCCAAAACAGGCATGTCTGTACCCAGAGCAGAACCACCAGAAGAACCGTGTAGGAATATCAAACTGAGTGGAATTGGTATTCAAATAAAGAAGTGTGTTTATAAATGATGTGTTTATGTTGGAGAAGCCGATTTACATTGATGTTGTGGTACAAGTTGCCAGGTAACATCAGGTATAACTGTGCAATAAGGTCTCATCTGGAGGTACAGTTGTTTCTCAGATGTTTGAAGCATAACTGCATTGTGTAGTGTTCTGTTGCTGCTTTTCCCCGCCCCACCCCCCCGCTCCATGAACAGTTGTAAGAAAGAACAAAACTAATGCTCTCGTAGAGCTCTCTAGCAAGCGATGGTTTGTGATATGCAGTTGTTTTTCAAGAAGAGGCTATTGCAAGGAGAGCGTTTGTCTTTTTACACTATTTCATTGGTTGTCTTGTAGGAGAGTATTTGTATCTTTGGTCTTAACATTTGTATAATGGAGGAGTGAAAGTAATTTGAACAACTTTTTTTGTGTTCATATAGATAGCCAATAAATGCAAAACACGTGCAGTAATACTTGAAACAGATAGTTCTTGATTTTTATTTTTTTTTTTAACATTGTTCAATGTGAACTTTGACTCCTTTTCATCTGCTTCAATAATTCTAGCTAGATGTCATTGATGCAGAAAGCAGTGACAAACTGTACTGGTGATGACTCTGAGGAGGAGTCGAAAAAGACTAAGAAGTTTGATGATGCTTGTGGGAATTGTTTAACTTCCTGGACATACACTACATAATACTCAGCTTCATTTCCTTCACTTGAAGTATATTTGTGAATAGGGTACAGTCAATTTTAAAAATGCTCTCCATACTGCTGTAGAAACAAAAGTGTGCCCTCTTCTCTGAGGAGAGATGCTGAGAACATGCTGCACCACAGTAAGTGTTCAGCTGTTTTGTTGGATCAAGGCCTGCTCATGAAGACGCATGAGGAAACATAAAACAAAAGTAATACAGCCTAAGGTAAGGCAGAATCAGAGAAGCAATGACTGTTATGACTAGAATGATGATTGAGAGCTGGATTCCCTGTTGTCAGTTGAACAGTGTATGCTTGTACCAAAAATGCAAGAAGAATTAAACTGAAGACTTTACCACAGGCATCTCAGATTAGATGGATGAGATTAGACAGTTTTCACATTGGCTGGCAAGGACTGATCAGATGCCTGTCCTGCTTTACAGCCTTCTCCCCACTGACTATCATCCACAGATCTTCAATTTGTTTTAAAGCATCTTCCCTTGCATTGTATTCTTAGTCATACGTTGTGAGCCATATTTTTCACAAATATCTTGAGAGTGCTACTAGCAAAAGATCTGATCACATCCTCTGCTTATACCTGGGTGTTTGTTCCTGTCTGGCTCTCTTCCTTTATCCTGGACATGTGTATGGGGAACTAACTTCACTACGAACCCTATTAGAACACGTTTCTAGACTAAAAGTGGGGAGGAAATCTAAGTTACTTGGCTTTAATTTGCTTCTACTGGGAACTTAAATTCTGTACCTCTTTTTTTAAATTCTTAACCTCTTTCATTGCCATCCACAGGATTTAAGCAAATATTTAAAAACTGAGTTTGGTTGTTTTTCTTGTAAGAGCATTTCAGTATTAATTTTATTTGTCCCGATCTGTATTCTTACTCTGTTGTCTGTCCAACAAAATAATTGCAAATTTTATAACTTGCTTGTTTCACATGAAGAGCTTTTCTGCAGTGGTCAGGAGGAAAGATGACTTTCATCTGTTGGGGTTTTTTTAGCATTGTCTGATACCAAATAGACTATTCAAATGCTAATAAAATAACCTACATGTTAAGCAGTTAATTAAAATGTGTACATTCCCTCCGTTGTTCCCCGCTGCAATTATTTAAGTCTGTCTGGTGGTAGTACATATGACAAAGATCAGTGATGGAGTGCTGAATATCTGCCTCTGCAACCAAAAGGGGAAATTCCCTTTTTTGAAATTGAAGATTCTTACATCTGTTGTAACCTTGTCAGGTCTCAAAGTGAACTCAAACAGTTCTTGATATCAGGGCGCGAAGTTTAGCTACCTGCATAATTGCATCGACATTGAGCAACACAGTTTCTTTTCTTAGATTAGGATGTGAGATTCCCTGGATTTGCAGGCCAGTTTAAAAGATATGATGATGCTTTGGGTTCATCCTCAACAAAAGAAAGATAAGCTTCTCCTTGTCTGTTTTTAGAGTATCGTTTTTAACACTGCTACTATTTTTGACCTCCTGTGTCCCTTAAGTTTGTAAGCCGGTTTTTAGGGTGCGAGACTAATACCTGGGCTCAGTCTATCACAGTGATGTGCTGAATGAAGTCTTATCTTATACATATAACACACTGTTATATGTATATGGGAGAGTGCCATGCTCTGCTTTTTTTTTTTTTGTTTTGTTTTTTTTGGTTTTTTTTTTTTTTTGTTTTGGTTTTTAATAAAGAAATCTAGAATGCCTGTGATCACAAGGAAAACAAAAATCCAGTTATTTCCTATGACAGAAACACTAATAACCTGAAGTCAATAATCAATAAATGAGCAGGTTAAACATATAAGCAGTTATTAGGAAAGTTTGTGGTATGTTGATGATGTTTTGGACAATAAAAAGACTACTGCCTCAGTCTTTATGAAATAAGTAGCAATGGTCATGGCTCTGATTGAACCATTCTCTGTTGGATGGCAGTGAAGTGCTGGATACTTTTATAAGTGTACTGAAGTATGTTAGTCATCAAGTAATAAGCACAATATGAAGCTGGTCCTTTAGGCTTATATGACTTACGCTGTGCCATTCTTAAATGGAATAAGACCCTTTGGTAGAGATTTTTGATATCTTGCTAAGAATGAGGAAAAGATTGATCAGGTAGTCCTGAGAGATGAAGTGATGCCAGCATAGAGGAGGGCTTATTAGAAATTGAGAAAAGGGGCATATTTCTTACACGTATGGAAACAATTGTCAGAAAGGAGGTGCGGGGTAGGGGAGAAGCAAGGCTCTAGCAGCCATGTCGCCCTAGGAGCCTGTCCTTCCCCTAAAGCATATGTGGTTGCTGCACCAGTTCACCTATTTAGTTTTTTCAGTGCAGAAATAAACAAAAGGCTGCTCTATGGCCAGAGGACAGGAAGTACCTTACCTACTGAGTGCATCAGCTGCTGCCAAGGCACACATATATGTGTAATAATGCTTAAATTATGTATCATTCAGTGTTGTGTGAGTTAATCAGATAATGCTACATAGGCCTTTGAGGATGAAACGTGTAATAACAAGTGTTTATAAAGTTTACTAAGGATTTCTGTCTGCATGCATATTGACTTCAGTCGAGCAACAGAATAACACATTCACACAAATCATTCCACGCTGACAAGACCTGCAGACTGGCACAACAACGTGTAGGCGCTTCAGGATGAAAGTCTTTTACTGTCTAACTTACTGCTTCAGGAATCTTTGCTTTATTATATGTTGGGGAATAAGTGGTGAAGAGAAGGAATTGGAATGCAAGCTCTGTTGGCTTGGTATTTCTGACCCAAGACACTTGGCAGTAGTGGGTCAGATGTCAAGGTAGCCTGAAGTTTAAAGGAAAAAATGGAAGGATGGAGATATATATGTACACTGCTCCAGGAGCTGGAATTTTAATATCAGTACTTGTGTGATGAGCTGGACTGGGGTAGGGTGAGAATTGTTGCTTACTGAAACATTTTAGCAAAGCTTGGAGGATGGATTAGTCAGAAGCATTAATGCTAGTACGTTTTGGTATTTTGTTTGCTTTCTTGTTTCCCCTGTTGGATATTTCTCACTGATGTGTACAGTAACTTCATCTTCTAAAGATCTTTGAGGAGGTGTTGTCTCTTAGCTAGCATAACTACGTAACTTTTCACCATTATTTACTAACAAAAGAGATTCCGTTGGTGACTAAGTCAGGATTTTTCTTTCAAAGAATTTTTGGCTGCTTGTCATGTCTTTCGTAACTGGGCAACGTCATGGTACATTTCATTTGTCACCAGTGTCCACAAATTCTCTTATGGTGCTTGAAATAGGAATTACCATTTGGGGCTTAGAGTGACTTAGATGAATAAATTGTATCTTACTGGAAGGTCAAATGAAAGTAATGTGGATTTGTAGGTCTCCCTGGTGAACTACAGAAACACATGCCGATTCCCGATCAGCATTGCTTAACAATGATGACAGCAGAATTAAAAAGTATAAGTAGGAAAGCTGTTGCTATGTCTTTGAGGTCTTTTTCTGTACAAACCATGTTTTGTTAATACGTGGCTGAAAGACCTGAAAAAGTTGTGTGTCCATAAAGAAATAGGTTATCTGTTTATGTGAACAGATTTTTACTTCAGTTTGAACAGTATGTCTGTTGATGTTGCCTCCAAATAACTGAATCGTGCACTGAACTCCAATTAGGTTTTTTTCCCCGCAGATTTAAGACTAAAAAGCTTACTACTTTTTTCTCTCGAGTATATTATTACTTAAACAAGATTAACTTATTTCCTCTAAAATTTATCTTGCAGATCTTAGAATCTGAAGACATGTATTTCCTTGGACTGTTGTCTTTGCTTGCTTTGCAAAGCAAAGCCTTCAAGACAAGTTTTCTTGATGAAACCATCACTGAGCTTTCTGTGAATGTTTACAATCAGCTACGAGCTGCAAGAGAAGATGAGAATATTCTTTTCTCTCCTCTGAGCATTGCAATAGCCATGGGAATGGTAGAGCTTGGAGCCCATGGAACCACTTTGAAAGAAATTCGACATTCCTTGGGTTTTGACAGCTTAAAAAATGGTAAGGCCTTTTAATTGTGTTTTACTGTGGAGCTTTTTATCTTAAAGAAGCAGATGGCAATGTCTGAACAATGATGGAAATGGCCCAGTCATGTCCATGGGTTATTAATCAGTAGGCTTCTTGGCATCCTGTTTGATGGCCTGAGCATGCTGAAGCATCCTTTAGTGGGTTCTGCATAAGCTGAGAGATGCAAACATACACCCTTGGCTTGGGCACCTGAATCTTAAGCAGTTGCAGGTAACTGTTGATCTTGGTTTCTACCTGCAAAATAATCTTGCCTTTGCCTTGAGAGTAATAAGAAGATTGGAAAGCAGTAGTTCCAGCAATATTGCTTATAAGAAAATATGAAAAGCATAGTAATTTAACTGAAAATGTCTGACACAAATTGTTTGGTTCTTGTAGGTAGAACCTGTAGGTTCTTCATCCTAATTTTGTGTCTAATGTTCTTCCTGCATTGCATGATGTCCCATACAGATATACAAGCTAGTCAGGAAATACCAGCATTGTGGCTATTTCAGTACAACACACCATGTGTTCCTATAAGCCTTTCTGAGAAGCAGGCTTCAATTCTTCAGCAGAGAACAATGCTACCACGCTGTGTCCCATTTATAGTATGGAATGAGATAAGTCATGGACCTGGATGTAGTGCTGGATGTTAGTTTCAACTGTGTTAGTGCACATGACTGTAATATGACTGCAAATGGAGAATATCAGTGAATGGCAAAAAAATTACTTGGATGAGGCAATTTCTGTGAATTTTGCTATCAAAGTAACTGGTTTGAAACCTGAATGATAACTCTTATTCACATAACATGCTGGACTTTTAAGTCTTTGGTAAAAGGATCTTGGGGAGGAATTTCTGAAAACAATGTTCAAAGTGTGTTCAACAGTAGAACCGCACAGATGATGTCTCTCTGTAGAGACTACAACGCGTATTTGGTTCCACAGTGTGTCTCTAAAACATTGATAAATTATCCCTTAGCTGTAACTGAAGAAGTTGTGTGGTTCATCTGAGCTACACTACTTGCTGTTCTTACATGTGAGTGGTATTCAGTGAGAGTAATCCAATGATTTCTGCTTCCAGTATATCGTTGCATAGAATTTTTAAGTTTTTTGGTTGGTTGGTCTGGTTTGTTTTGTGTGTTTTGTGTTTTTTTGGGGTGGTGTTTTTTTATTATTATAAATTTCAGCTTCAGCTAGGCAATGCAACAATACAAGCTTCCTATTTTAGTGCGGACTATTTTAATCCTAATCCTTGGGATTGCTCATTATCCAAGCAAATGATGCTGCTCTACCCCACACAGGATCTTGGGAAATTGTAGGCATGGGGGTTTTTTTGCAGAGAAGTCTGTGGGGAAGTCCTTAGCCTCAAAACTTGACGTTCATTTTTCCTTAAACAACTGGCTTTTGGTATGTAACCAAAATTCTCTTAAGGATTTAAGTTAACAAGACATACAAGTGTGGCTTGTAAGAATGATTGGGGTTTTTTTTGGGGGGGGGGATTGTTTTGCTTTTTCTTTAATTCCTCTTTTGGCGTTAAAAGAATTACCATTGATGGCTTTGTGATGGGATCCAAATGTCTCATTAATTAGGCTAATTACAGATAATAGAAAAAAAAAAAAGCTCTAAATAATATGTTCTGCTTTGTGGATTGTTCTCTCAGATCTGAAGGTGTATGGAAAAAGACTGTGAACTTCCAGCAGAAAAAACCTTCCTTTTCTGAAACAGCAAATCTGTTTTTCTTCCCTCAGGTGAAGAGTTTACATTCTTAAAGGACCTTTCTGATATGGCAGCTACTGAAGAAAGTCATTATGTTCTGAATGTTGCTAATTCTCTCTATGTGCAAAATGGATTTCATATCAGTGACAAATTTCTGCAGTTGGTGAAAAAATACTTCAAAGCTGAAGTAGAGAATGTAGATTTCGGCCAAAGTGCAGCTGTAGCTACCCAAATCAATAAATGGGTGGAGAATCATACAAATAGTAAGTCCATGTGATTCTTTTGTATACTTCCTGCAGTAAGTGTTTGTGTTTCTGAAGTATTATAGTGGTGTTAAATTGTTGCCTTGGCTTTTATCTGTTCCATTTGAGACTACAGTATCTCCTTGCATAAAGAAAATTATAATATCAGTTCTTCGTGAAATTATATTTTTTTCCTATACAGGAAGGATCTCTCTTAAGTAATGTAAGCCATGGCTAATCATACAGTAGTATCTGAATATTTTTTCCACCTGTCTACCATCTTAAAGCACCTGTACATTGACTGCAGGAGAGTATTTTAATGGTAGGCATTTTAATAGTATTTTAATACTGATTTTGGTATTAAATTACAAAAAATTGGTAGGGTACTATTACTAACTGCATACAAGTTATCTACAAAGTGGTTATTTGCCCATGCTTTGAATGGGTGGAGTAGCTCTCTAAGAAACTCAGTTACAAGGTAATAAGAACAGAATACTAAAGAATACAGAAGATAATTTTAAACCACAAAATCAGACCGTGTAATGTAATCTTTTCCAATGCAAGGAAAGTAGATAGCATGTTGAAAGAGTAGTTGATTTTAGGAAGACTATCAACAGGGCTTCACAACAAAAATTTGCAGCAGGGGAGTAACCACAAAATTACTGTTGTAAATATGCATACGCAGATCTGCATGATTTAGTTCTTGCTTTGCCTGTGGAATCCCAAGTAAGTGACATTTTCTGAATACATGCAGTCTCTAGATACAGGAGTGAGGTTAGTCCCTTCTTGTGGGGATCAAAGCATTATCGCATTCTAGTTCATCTGACATGCTCTGCAGGTTGATATTTTAAGTGTAATTCGACAGGGGTCTCACTAACATCAGTTATACCCTTGTAAATTTGAAGGTACTGGAATCCTCTGTAATGACTTAACACATCACCATGTAGTCTGAGCATTTGAGAATCCACAATGCTTAATGGAAAGGTATGGCACTAAAGTGGAAAACCACCTTATATATTGATTTTATTTCATTTTGAATATTATCTGTTTTTTCAAAGGAGAATAGTAGCTATTATATTCATAATAAATTCTGTCCTTTATCTCAAGTTACAGAAATAGAGGGAATGTAAGTGATGCAGCAGATTGCAGCGTGTTTTTAGAGAAACATGGTGTCTGTCTGAAGGAAAAGTGGAATTCTTTTAGAAGGAACAGCAAGAGTTCTCCTGCTTAACACCTGCCATGTGCTGACTGAGTTCATAACCATCGCCCTAGAGGGAGCTGTGTAGAGCTAACAAAGGCAGCTGTGGGTATCTTAGCAGTGGGTTGCAATAGTAGCAGTCCCTCTGCCTGGTCTCTGACCACTAGATCTCGTTCTCTTCTGCCTGCCAGCTCAGACAGAGGAGGCTTATTTTCTCATTAGAAAAGGGGTGCAAGACAGGCAGGTTTCCAGTTCCAGCATGTTAAGCATGATGGGAAGCTCAGAGCAGAAAACATAACTGTCAAAGGCTTTTCTGGCCAGGAAGATTCTTAGCGTTTCATTAGTGTATTAACTGAATACACTATGTATTCAGTGTATGTGACTGAAAATAAAAGGGAATATGATGTAATAAATATAAATAGAAAAACTGGAACTGTATTCCTTTTTAATTCTTCCTTTATTTTTTTCTATCCCAGTCACAGAGAATGAGTGTAGCTGTAATGGTCACATCTCATTTCTAAGAATGCTCTAGATAAAATGAAGTACAAACAGCAACCCAGAAGAAATACTGCCCTGTGATACATAAATTTCACACCAGTTATTGTCATATGCTGCAGAAAGCAGAATTAATCTGTATTTTAAACCATGGATTAAGACGTAATAATCTGACTGAGGAGTGTGTTTATTTTAACACCTTGCATTGCAATGTCAGTTAAAAATAGAAGTGAGCAAGAAAGCTATTGGCAGCAAGTTGTAATTCTTCAGGAGTAGTGACATGTGGTCAGTGCACCAAATCTAACAAAGTCTAAATTATTCTGCCTACAAGCCAGCCACTTAAGATGAACTAAAGCAGGTAACAAGCTGTATTCTGATGTAAATGACTTAGGAGGTAGGAGCAAAGCAGCTGCTGTACCACTCATGAATAGAGCAGTTGTTAAATGGTTGGGGTTTTTTGCTTTTCAAGAGCTAATGTCAGCAGAACAAATGCTGTGAATTTATGGGGGTTTTATGGTTATTCCTCAGTTAGAAGTCAGTAGGATATTACTGAAAGTGAATGCTTCCTTCAAAACTGGCTTCCACCAAAACTGGTGAAGTTCCAATGGGTACCCTTATATGCTTTAAATAAAGCATACGTTTAAGTGCTTCTTTGGATTGGAGCCAAAGTTTGTACAAGTTCTGACCTTAAGACAGTAGTGCTGAACTGTATTATAGCACCAGTGCAAACATTCCTTATGTGACCCCTTTTCCACTTGGTTCCATTGTGAGTATATTTAAGTAGTGATCAAGGAACAGTTGACTTAACATGTACTTAATGGAAGGGTTTACACACCTACACTGTGATTTAGGTTTACAAAACACTGGCAGTTTAATTTGAGATTTAATGAAACATCCGAATTGGAAATTGCATGGTAGCACAGGTTTGTTTTTTTTTTTGTTTTTTTTTTTCTTTTTTCAAGCTGTCTTAAGTTTTGATTTAATGCTCAATTTGATATGCAGACTGACAGTTGGTTTTCTTCTTAGATATGATCAAGGATTTTGTGTCTTCAGGAGATTTTGGTGCTCTAACTCATTTGGCTCTCATCAACGCAATCTACTTTAAAGGCAACTGGAAATCACAGTTCAGACCTGAAAATACAAGAACTTTTTCTTTCACTAAAGATGATGAAAGTGAAGTGCAGATTCCAATGATGTACCAGCAGGGAGAGTTTTACTATGGTGGGTTGGAACTTTAGCAATTTTAAAGCTAGTAAGTCTTCCCTCAGTAGGTATGTTGCAGTAATACTCATTTGTGGTGGTGTCTGTTCTTTCACCTAGAACTTTAAATGTGGTGTTTATCCAGTGAAATATCTCTGGTTTTGACGTCTTTTTGTAGTGTGTGTTCTTGTGAGATAGCAACATCTATAATGAGCTCTTTCTTGATTACTTTTTGGGTATGTGTTTGATGCCACATCGTGGATTTCAGAATGTTTATCCATTAAATCTAACCTCTTTACAATTCTTGAACTAGTCTTGCTTCTTGCTAAAATATTTTTTTTGTGCTGTGCTAAATATTTAAACAAATGTTTGCTTGTTACTGTTGTAGTATCCTTAGGGAGGTAAAATAGGGGTTCTTCGAACAGCAGAGCTAAGGATCATTTTTACCTTGAGCTTGAACTGCAAGTGAGCTCTACAGTGTTTCACACTGCAGTATTTTGCTCAGTCTCATCATTGAAAAATTCTCTCAAATAAAAAACCTCTGCCTGTTTCCATGAAAGTCATACATCTCTAACCAGTGAAAGTCAGGTAATAGGTTCAGAAGTGTAATTACTTGCAAACTCTGTGATTGCTTGTTTTTCTGTAAGAAAGCAGATGTAAGCCTCAAATCTTAAGATGAAGATGCCAATATAAATTTTATACAGAAAAAAGAGGGTCATTTTTGGTTCTAATACCTAGTAAATACTGCCTAGTATTAGTCTTCTTTTTTTCCCCTATCTCCAGGGAAAACAAAATACTTCTACTAGCTTTTGTTGTTGTTTTTCTCTTGTAGGAGAGTTCAGTGATGGATCCAATGAAGCAGGCGGTATCTATCAAGTTCTGGAAATACCATATGAGGGAGATGAGATTAGTATGATGATCGTTCTTTCCAGACAGGAAGTTCCACTGGTCTCATTGGAACCACTGGTTAAAGCCTCATTGATTAATGAATGGGCTAATTCCGTAAAGAAGCAAAAAGTGGAAGTATATTTACCAAGGTGAGAATATGCTCCCATGTCAATAGAAGCGGAAAGACTGCCTTCAAATTGATCGGAGTATCAGAGTAGGTAAAACTTGAACACCTTGATCAAGCCTGCAGTTAGGTGGCACCCATGTGGAGGTTGCGTTGACAATAAAGCCCAGGGGTGTGCAGTGCCGGGTGATGGTTGTTTGAGCAACAGATGAGCACTGTGTGTTTTCATCCCTTTCATATGCGAGTTCTAGTAAGGAAAATTTCATCATTGGGAATATAGCCATTCTGAATGATGTGCAGGGTATTGCAGAACCCATTATGGCTAAGTTCCATTTAGACAGGAGCCATAGAAATATTGCAAGGCTGAATTAACAAAAGCTAAAGTGTTTCATTTAGCTCCTAATTAGATTTCTATATGCTGCTAATTTAAAAAGTTCTAATGGTGTGTGTGTAGATACAAATGGTTGAATGTTGAGAAGTAATTCCAGTCAATTTGTCTTTTGTCCATTTTCTTAGTTGTAATAAGTGCTGCTTTCTTTTTTCTTAGAGGAGCAATAGAATTGCAAGATGTTGTGACCAGAAGGGATGAAAATTCTGTCAGTTCATTTGTAGACATAAGTTGTGTGTGCTCCGTGACTTATTTGCTCATATCTGTCTCTTAGTTATCTTCCCCAGAATTTGGTTTCATCTGCCTTCAAATATTTTTCATGCTTGCCCTACACTTGACTTAGTAACGGAGTTGTTTACTACTAAATGTCACTATGTATAGTTGGATCATGATGTCCTTTCAAGTGCTTCATAATGATTTCATTAAAGTGTTTATAACAGTATGAGTTTGATGTGGATCACTTATTCTACTTTTTTGTCACTGTACATTGAGTACCTGGCAGCACTTTGCTTTGGTTCTAATGCTTTAGACAGTGTTGAAATAATGTTTTCTTAGGTTTAGGTTGTTTTCCATTCCAAAGCAAAGACCACTTTCAAGAAGCTAACTGCAGCTGAGCACAGTAGAACAAGGCTAGCCAGGATGAATTAGGTTGAGATGGACTGGTGCTGTAAGCATGCCTCAATTCCAGTTCTCTTTTAAGCTCTTAGCTTGGTGTCAGAGTAGCAAGGGAACAGCAGCATTTTGGGGTTGGTTTTGTCTGCCCCATAGTAAGAGTTCCTTTCTTTTTTAAGCAGCATTTACTTTGAGGAAGCAGGGTCAGCAGCGAAAAGCTGCATTGCAGGTTTTATACAAACTGTACACTTTTCCTGTGATTTTTTGATTTGTTTTTCTCTTGGAGCTTCAGGTCCCAGGAGCTGTAGTATTAACAGTCCACTACAATGCAGGGAAAGGGTGTTTCTCCTGCAGGCTTGGGCAAACCTAAATAGTAAAATATGAGGGTTCTTCCATCCCTTAATCTTTCCTTTTGCAATTGGAGCATATCGCAGCCTGTGCATCAGGTGCTGAAGCTGGACATCTTCTCTCAAAGAAGTTCTAGTGTGCAAAATCTAAAACAGAAGTCTCTCTGCATGGTTTATATAGGGAATCTGTGAAATCTAGCTTCCAAATTCAACAAGCTCAGGCATCTAAAGTTAAATACATGAATGTAATTGAAAACATATTATTTATGTTTATATCATGAATTAAATTTGTAGAGGTAGTTCAGGGGTTTATTTACTTTTAATCAAAAGCAAAGACTCCAGGATTCTCTGTAGCCAGGTTCTCAGACATGAGTTCGAGGCCTAGGTTTTGTGTGGTCATAAAATGTCCTTATTTATTCTATCACAGACTAGTCTGTCACTCTTGCCTAAGAACCTCAAAAAACTTGGTAAGCAATTCTAAATTAGGCCAGTACAAAGGCAAAAGCCATACAACCAGGTGCTGATTACCTTCAGTATTTACAGATTATAAAAGATTACTATCATGAGCCTGAAATTCCGTACCGTAAAACTGCAATTTCCTTACAAAAAATCCGAACATTAATTGGATGCTCCCAATGTGTTGGGATTTCTGCTAGGGATTCAGAGGTAACCTACAGGATTTTATCAATCCTCTAAATAAAAACTTCATAAATATTTAATGTTCTGACTCAGAAAGGCTTGTTACGAAATGTGGCCTGCAGGCTATGTCCACTGAGAAATTGAAAGCAGCAGTGGAATAAAATTAAATTTTTATATCCTGAAAGATGCTATCCAATTATAAAGTGAACATTTTTTAAACTTAAACATTTGTAATAGGACCTGAATGACTAGCCAAAGCAGAGTTAATCACAACTTTCCAATTTCTGTCTGTTATCTGTGTGCAAATGAAATTCTGTATTACTCCTCTTAATGGCAAAGCAGAGATTTGTACAGAATTGTTGAATTATACTTTCTCATTTTCATTTTCAAATCATTGTTTCCAGTTTAACCCAGACTAAAGTGATCAACATTTTAATCCACTTTTTGCATAGGAGTGAAACAGACCATGAATCTAATTTACATAGCTGTCTCTCTAACATAAATTATTTGAAGAGCATAGGAGAAACTAGTACCTAATAACAGTGCTGAAGTCTGCAGATATGTTAAGGATTGCTACAGTATGCCTACTTCCCCGTAATGATCATCTTGCTTTTTTTACGTTTAAAATACCATATAAATGCCTTAAATGATGTTGAAATGATAAGGGTTTTTTAGCTAAGAGTTGTTTTTTCTTAAAAAAAGCAAACAAAACAAAAAAAAACCCAACAAAACAACAAACCCAAACAAAGCCCAAAACCCAACCAAAAAAGAGAACAAACCAAAACCAAACCAACAACGAAATAACCCCAAACAAAAAAAGGCCAGGCATTCTCTCCTTTTTCTTTTCTTTTTCTTTTTTTTAACATGCTCTTGAGTCCCTTTCTTATGAGGAATAGGCCAGTGCTGATTTGAAATATCATAGAAGGTGAAGTTTTCTTTTGGTGGTTTTTTTTTCCCCGTAAGGTCTCTAAAATGAAAGAAAGATGGCTTGATACAGTATGTTAAAGTTATTGCCCTATACAAAACCTAAAGGTTCAGATACATAACTAAGGCAACTGTCAATGACATAAATGCATCATTTTAATGTTTGTGTAAGTTTTAAATTTCATAAAAATTCCATAATTTTTTGCTAAACTGTTTTAGTTTCTTGCTCTAATTCTACTTCCTAAGCATCTCATTATGTTCTTCATTTCATATGGGAGAGATCCAAAGATGGTGGTAAACAAGGGAAGTATTTTTATTAAGCTATTTGGACTTCATTTTACACATAGGAAGTAGAGAGACTTTACAAATGAGCGGTGTAAAAATAAATATAAAGTTAACTCACATGTTCACTTCTCCTTGACTTTGCCTAAAACCTGGTAGGCAGAGTTACTATCCTTTATTAATACCTTTTGGTCTGTAGAAGCATACATCCATGAACATATATCTTGGTGAACCTTCTAGAACGGCTTAAGTATAGATCTTGTCTTGACTCAAGAGACCAGTCATTCTGTTCTTGTCCTATAGTGAAAATACCTTGTCGTTTCTCTAGTGTCTATTTCTCATAACTCCCTTTGTAGTTACGAATGCTCCCAGTTGCAACTATTCCATGACTTCTAATATTGAAACTTTTTCTTTATATAGTATTTTTAACATCAGAAGCACCTAAAAGATTGTCAAAAACCGTATGACCAGCTTGTTCAATACATGCAACAAACACTGCAAATAACCATGTGTCAGGGCTAGTATCATGTAGCTTGGCATTTTCAGACTCTGAGGTACAGTAAATGCCTGGCTTGGGAAATGAGATTGAATGTCTCTTAGGTGTTCTAGGTTGACAGCTTTGATTTTGAATACCTATGTCACTGTCTGTAAGGAATGCAAAGAAATCCAAATATGACTGGAGAATAACTCATACCAAATGTTTACATCAGATTGCATAGTCTGAAATTAAATTTCAAAGTGTAAAGCAGCATTATTATTGTTCAAAAGAGGATAGTTCTGATGTCAGCTGAAATATTTGAGATATCATTAATACCTTATCTGTAACTCTAGCTGCTCTTCATAGCATGTGAGAGAGGAGGTTTGAATAGTGGTTTAGACTGGAGTTTTGCCATATAACAAAACAAAAGGGAAGTAATTAGTTTTATTTTTGTAAAGGGATATTTTGGTATTTTTACAGCTGATGTGATATTTCTGGTCTACTTTATTTGCATAAAAAGTAGAATCTCACTTGTATAGATACTGTAGAGACCTTTTCTCATCCACTTGTTCAGCATTTGCCTTTCCAGAGATTTCAGTCAGGGGTGTAGCCTCTCTCTAGGAGTCAAGTGACTGCTACTGTCCCTCATGAAGGTCGTCTTTAGCAATATAACTAATCAACTTGTTTGCATTTTCTTCTTTTGGACATATATTCAGCTGAGGCTGAGTGTGGGATTTTGTTTGGGTTTTTTATGTGTGTTTGTTTAGGGGTTTGGTTTGGTTGGGTTTTTTTGGGGGGGCGGGGGGCTTGTTTTTGTTTGATTGGTTGGTTTTTATTTTATTTTTCAAAGACATCTCCAAAACCTCTTCCTTGATTAGTATGCAAAAGCATCTTTTGTCATATTTCCTTTCTGGGTCACAATTCGTCACTTAGCAGATAAATGTGTTTTCTGTCTGGTGATCCAGAGACTTAAGTCCACCTGATTTACGTTTATATCTTAAAGTGATTCTCTGCAGTTGGAAAAAAATGCTTTTATACAGTTATTTTCCTAGTTTGTGACTTCAAATTTTGGGTTTCGTGCAGATTTGACTTGCCACTGGCCTATCCTGATATTTCTTATTAGTTTGAGGTTGCTAGCTAATAGCTAAATTATCTGGGCATACTTTACAAGGGTGTAGTGAGAGTTAAAACTGATCTGTAGTTTTGGGTCCGAGAAGCCAGAGAAACTTGGATGAATGAGCAACTTGTAGATTTGTCTCTTAAAGCTAAAATCATGGATAATGTCTTGCAAGCATAGTTTTTGACCAGTAATGTGTGTGTCCAGAGCTTTCTAATAGAAGAAATCTAACAGGGCACATC